AATATTGTTCCATTTGTATTGGTCACAGAGTTCTCTCAATATTCTTTCATTCTTAGAGATCCTTTTTTCTCTCTGTGCCTCAGAAAGAAAAATTTTTCTACTTTATTGTGGTTTTATTACCTCAGGTGACAGCTATTTAACCTTAGGAACACTCTAATTTTGCATTCCTCTTCTCTAATTTCTATTTCACTTATTGTCTCCTCCACTGTATCTAATCTGCTTTTAAAACCCTCCATTGTATTCCTTAATGATTGGATCTCTGACCATAATTCATTTCTGAGTTCTTGAATATTTTTCTGTACCTCCAGGATCATGTTTATGATTTTTATTTTGAAATCTCTTTCAGGAAGATTGATGAGATCAGTTTCATTTGACTCTTTTTCTGGTGTATGTAGGATTTTGCTTTGAACCAGGTTCCTTTGATGTTTCATATTTGTATGCGGCACCCTCTACTTTCCAGAAGCTCTACTCTCTAGAGCTGCTCAGCCCCTGGAGCAATATCAGTGTTCACAGGGGAATGGTGTTGGTGCCTTGGGGAAGAAAAGATCTGTTTCCTGCTTCCCGGCTGCTATGCATGTCTCCACTGCCAGAACCAGTGGGCCAAACACAGGTGTAAGCCTCTATGCTTTGCGATTGTATTTGCTGTAGGCAGGGCTTCCCTCTGGCTGGCCTGATGCCGGGGCAGGGGCTGCCGGTTTTTGAGCCAGGGGTGGGCTGGCTGGGAGGAAGACGCAGCAGGCTGCGTGTCATGGTTGGGGGGCTTTGGAGCTGTGTAGCCACCCTGGGGGATGGAGCACCTGAAGCTCCTGAAAGTTCCCAACCTGCTTGGCAGAGTGCACTTGGACAATTTTGTCTACCTGTCCTTTCTCCTGAGCAGTAAGCTCTGTGCAGTTCTTGCCCCTTTAGCAGCCCTCTTGCTGTTAGGAAGTCTCTCAGACTGCCTGCCTTTCTTTTGCCCCAGAGTAGCCGGATATGGATCCCTGTTTTCCACAAGCAGCTGGAATCAGTGAGTCTCTCCAGGTATTCCACCTGTCTTAGCTTTCCAACCCCAGTAACCGCCAGAGCACTATGCAATGTAGGTTTGTGCTCCCAGAGCAGATCTTCAGGGCTCGGTGTTCTGCAGTTCCAGGCCTCCAGTCCCTCCCCCACTTCGTTCCTCTTCCTCCTGCCAGTGAGCTGGGGTGGGGGAAGGGCTTGGGTCCTGCTGGATCATGGCTTTGTTACATTACCTTGTTCTATGAGGTCTGTTATTTTCTCCAGGTGTGTGCAGTCTGGCGCAGCCTTCTTTCCTGTTGCTCTTTCAGGGTTAGTTGTATTAATTATATTTTCGTATTATATGTGGTTTTAGGAGGAGGCCTCTGTCTCACCTCTCATGCCACCATCTTTAATCTTATGTCTCCCTGCCTTTATTTTTTAAGGTGAAACTCAAGTAAAAACTAATCACTATAAAGAGTACAATTCAATGGCATTTAATACATTCACATTATTGTTTAACCATCATCGCTAGTTCCAAATATTTTAATTACTCCTAAAAGAGACTTCTTACCCCTAAGCAGTCACTCTATGTCCCCTACCATCCAAGCACGGCAAACACTCATCTGTTTTCTGTCTCTGTGGAGTTACTTAGCCTGGATATTTCATACAAATTCAGTCATGTAGTATGTGGGCTTTTGTGACTGACTTCTTTCACTCAACACAATGCTTTCAAGGTTCATCCATTGTGTAGCCTATATCAGTACTACATTCCTTTTGATGGCTGAATAATATTCCACTGTAATGGCTGTACTACATTTTGGTTACCCATCTGTTGATAGACATTTGGATTGTTTCCACCCCTTAGTTGTTAATTAGTTGTTTCCACCCTTTAATGCTGTTGTGGACATTTATGAATACCCATTATTAATTCTTTCATGTAGATACCTAGGAGTGGAATTGATGGGTCATATACTAAATCTATGTTTAGCTTTTTGAGGAATTGCCAAATTGTTTTCCACAGCAGCTGCACCATTTTACATCCCTAGTAGCAGTGTATGAGGGTCCAGTTTCTTCACATCCTCATCAGTGCTTATTATTTTCCTTTTTTTTTTTTATTAGAGCCATCCTACTGGGTGTGAAGTGGTCTCTCATTGTGGTTTGGATTTACATTTCTCTAATGACTAGTAATGTTGAGCATCTTCTCATGTGCTTATTAGCCATGTGTGTATCTTTGGAGAAATGTCTATTCAAAGATCCTTCACTCATTTTTTGATTGGATTGTTTGTCTTTTTTTGTTGTTGTTAAGAGCTCTTTCTATATTTTTGACACTAGACTCTTACTAGTTACATGATTTGCAAAAATTTTCCCCCATTCTATGGGTTGTCTTTTCACTTTCTTAAAGTCTCTAAGATAGGGATATCTACATAGATTTAGATATATGATATATGTACAGACATATATGATATATGTCCATATATAGATATAGACACTTATACTTTCTCTTCACTTTAAAATAGATAATGTCCTTTAATGTACAAATGTTTAATTTTGATGAAGCTTAGTTTATCTATTTTGGGTGCTTTTGGTATCATATCTAAGAACCCATTGCCAAAGCTAAGGTCATAAAGATTTACTCTGTGTTTCATTCTAAGAGTTTTCTAAATTTAGCTCTTACATTTTTTTAAGCTAATTTTGTAAATGATGTGAGTAGGGTTCCAACTTCACTTTTTTCCATGTGAATACCCAGTTGTTCTGGCACCATTTGTTAAGAAAACTATTCTTTCTCCACTCTTCTTTCTTGGCACCTTTACTGAAAATCAGTTGACCATGGATGTGTGGGTCTATCTGGTCCTCAGTTCTGTTTCATTGTTCTGTATGGCCTATCCTTAGGCCAGTATGGCACTGTTTTGATTACTGTTGCTTAGAAGTAAAATTTTAAATCAGCAAGTGTGGGTTCTTTTTCAAAATCACATTGGCTGTTCTGGGTCCATATGCAATTTCATATGAATTTTAAGTTTTTCCATTTCTGCAGGAATCTATTGGTATTTGATAGGGTTTGTATTGAATCTCTAGATCACTTTGGGAAATATGCCATCTTAACAATATTAAGTCTCCCAATCCATGAACATAGGATGTATTTCCATTTATTTAGATATTCTTTAATTACTTTCAGCAATATTTGGTAGTTAAAATCTACATGTCTTTCACTTCCTTGGTTAAATTTATTCCTAACCATTTTATTATTTTAGATGCTGTTGTAAATGGAATTGTTGTAATTTCATTTTTGGACTGTTCACTGCTAGTGTATAAGATATAACTGATTTTTGTGTGTTGCTCTTGTGTCCTCCAACTTCACTGAATCTGTTATTAGCACTAATAGTTTCTTTGTGAATTCATTAGGGTTTTCCATATATAAGGTCATGTCATCTGCAAATGGAGATGATGTTATTTCTTCCTTTTCAACTTGGATGCTTTCTTTTTCTTGTCTAATTACTCTGCCTAGAACTTTCAGTACAGTGTTGAATTCAAAGTGATAAAAATGGGCATCTTTGTCTCGTTCCTGTTCTTAGGGAAAATCTTTGTCTTTCACCATTGAGTATGATGTTAGTAGTGCATTTTTCATAAAGGTACCTTGTCAAGTGGAGGAAGTCCCTTATATTCCAAGTTTATTGAGTGTTTTTTACCATGAAAGGGTGTTGAATTTTCTCAGCTGCTTTTTTTGCAGCAATCAAAATGGTCATGTGGTTTTTTTTCCTTCTTTTTAGTAATGTGGTATATTATATTCATTGATTTTCATAGGTAGAACCAACCTTGCATTCCTAGGATAAATCTCACTTGATCGTGGTGTATAATCATTTTACTCTGTTACTGGGTTCAGTTTGCTAGTATTTTGTGGAGGATATTTATCCTCAAGTTTAAGAGGTGGCTGAGCATCTTGGTTAGGAAACAGAAGTCAGATAGATCTCATGAGAATCCTAACTGTGCCACTCATTTGTTATAATTGGTATGTTGATTGAGCCTCAGTTTCTTCATCTATAAAATGGGTTCATAAGAGTGACTATCTCCTGGCACTGTTGTGAAGATTCCAAAAATGAATGGACAGGTTTACACTGACACATGTGTGGTGTGCCCCTGTGTCTGGTTCCACACCAGATGCCTTGCATATATTAGTTTGCCTAATTATTGCAACAACCCTGTGAAGTAGGTACTGTTAGGGCCCACATTTTACAGATGAGGAGGCTTGGGCATTGAGAGGTGATGTGGTTTTCTTGAGAACACACAGATGGAAGATGGGAAGCCAGCATCAATCTGGCCTTGGAAGCCCCCAGTTAGGCACTGAAGAAGCAGACTGGTGCTTTTACCTCCAAGGTTTTATTAGAAAATATTTCTAAGCATGCAGCAAAGTCAGAAGACTTGTACCTGTCATCTGTACGCCCACTGCCATTAACATCTGTCTGTGCTCACTTTGTCACTTACCTTCCATCTCACTTTGATGCATTTCAAAGTGGCGGCCATCAGAAGATTTCCCCAAACATCTCGGTAGGCACACCATTAAGTAGAATTCGTATTTGTTTCCAGCCCTTTTTCTTTTGGAGTAGAATACCTGCATGCATAAGCCTGAAGTGTACATTTGCTGAGTTTTAGTAATTGCGTACACCTATGCAGCCCAAACCCCCACCAAGATCTAGAACATGGGCACTGCCTCAGGCTCCCGCCACTTCCCAGTTAGTCCCCACCCCCGCCCACTAACGAACAGCCACGTTCTGAATTTCTTCACCGTAGTTTATTTTCGCCAGTTTGAGAAACTTCATATAAATGGAGCCATACAGAATTGCTCTCCTGTTTCTGGCTTTTTCACCTGAGGCTATAGTTTTTCCCTCATGGTGCAGATGTGAACTGAGGCCCGGAGAGGTGAGGGACTTGTCTGGGGAAATGCAGCAGAACCCAGGCTGCTGGAACCCAGGGCTGCTGGGGTCCAGTCTGCACACCATACAGTCCCTAAGCACCCCAACCCCTTCCCATAGGGTGAGAGGCTGAGCCACGCCGTGGGCTGTGCCTTTGCAGCCTGTCTGGAGCGGAAACAGCGGCGGGAGAAGGAATGCGGAGTCACAGCTGCCTTCGACGCCAGCCGCACCAGCTTCGCCCGGGAGGGCTCCTTCCGCCTGTCTGGGGGCGGCCGGCCGGCCGAGCGAGAGGCCCCCGACAAAAAGAAAGGTGGGTGCTGCCCAGAGGGCAGGGCTGGGCACATGGGGGCCGGGGTGGGGCCGGGGATCTAGTTTGCCGGGAGAGCTATGGAGGTACAGGTACTGTACAGTTTATGGAACAGAGCACCAACCACAAAGTTTGACTGCAGTTTGTAAAGCTCACTTCAGTTTAAGGAGGTCTTTGGGGGCAGTACTGTGTGGGCTACAAATCACTGCAAAGCTCACCAAGCATTTTATTATCTGCTCACTCAGGATGGTTCCCAGACTTTTAAATTGCGTATCAAGATCTGTTACTTGGTTGGGATTGGTGGATTGTGATCAGCTCGTTGGATTGTGTCAGGCAGTTAAAAAAAAATGAAATAGAATAGATTAGAAAATATCAGGGTAGTTGAATGTAGTAAGGGTGAGTATAGTTTAATGAGTTTATTTCAGTGTATATATTTACATATGTGTGTGTTTGCATATGTGTGTGGAAAACACATGGTCACCATGTAAAGGTGTTTCTTACCCCAGGTTGCCACCAAGAAAGTTAGAAAAATACCTAGTAAACTCCAACATTTTAGGTAAATACCAAGTGGTTTGTAAGCTCTAAAAACAGTGTGTTTTTAAATGTAAGTGTTATTATGTGCTGAGTTACAGTGTAATTTAATTAGTTAACTTGGTTTTTACTGTGGATTTTAGTTTTTAAATTTTGGGGAAACACTGCCTAGAATTTACAAAGAGTCTACCATTGGGAACTGATTCAGATCAGAAGAGACAGAGAGATCTGACCAGTGGTAGTAAGTGCAGTGTGTGACCCTGAACTGGATCCTGGGTCCTGGATCACAGACGTATGAGAACATCTATAAAGTACATGATGGGGATAGTTGGGAAGTTGGAATATGGACTTAGCTCAGCTAATGGGATCATATCCGTGTTAAATTTCCTGAGTGAGAAATTGTACTGTGGTTCTGTGGGAGGCTGTCCTTGTTCTTAGGAGGTGCGTCTGAAGGTTTTAGGGTTGAGTGAACTGTCTGCAAAGGCACTCTTACTTACGTGGTACAGAAAAAAATTGTGGAAGGAGAAAGAGATCGAATAGGGTAACATTTCAACACTGGGTAGCATATACGCGGAGAACCTGCTCATTGTTCGTTAGTGTGTCTTCACAGGAAGTGTCAAATATTTCTAACTAAAAAGTTAGGATAACGGAAGCTTTTATCACTTACTGAAATGTTGGAGTTTACCAATATCAGTTTATTTATAAATTATGTGACCATTTACAAGGCTCTTCATAGCTTACCAGGGACTTCACTGTTGACATCATCTCTCAGAATTTGTAAAGAATTTCATCATCTGCAAAACAGGTTCAAAGCGAAGCTGACAGAGGGCCTAATGAGTGTATGATGTTTTATTGTTGACAAAGGGACACATACAGCCTTTCACAGTTTACAAATACTTCTTTACATAGAATATTAGAATTTGCAAAGAATGTCATATGCTTTACAGTTGGCCAAAGATTTTGCTGTCACCCAAGGGTATTACAATTTCCAGGTACTTCGTATTGTAGAAAGCACTTTACAGTTGACACGGCAAAACGACAGTTTACAAAGTGCAGGATGATTTGCTGAACATATCACAGGGTGTTTCACCTTTAATGCACTGATTCACAGTCTCAGGGCCCTGCACTTGTACAAAGAGCTCTTAGCAGTGTACGTGTTAGGAAACAGGATCCTTCCCCCAAACTTGTTTGCCGAGCTTTTGTCAGATACCAAAGCACTGAATGGGAGGCCTGAGAGGAGGCATTGGGCTGGTTATCCCAGGTTTACTCAGGAAACTGGAGCCCAGAGAGAGGAGGGGACATGCTTAGGTTACATGGTGAGGTGGGGGCAGAGGTGGTTTCCTGGTTCCAGCCTGTCCCGGGCTGTTCCACTGCCAGACCCGGCCTAGGTGGGCACTGTGCTGCCTCCATCTAGAAGATGGGGGAAGTGCTGGGTGACCTGCCTGCCCTCTCTGGACCTCAGTTTAATCTCACGGGCACTCAGGCTGCAGCTGGGGTGGGGTCCTGATTGGGGGATGGATGGGTGTGTGTCTGTGTGTTGGTAGGAGTGGGGGGCCCTGCCATTGAAGAGCCCGCCTCTTGCGCTGAGTGGGGAGACCAGGCACCCCAGAGGGCAGAGAGCAGTCTGTGTATGAGCAGAGTGGATGGTGCCCAGGATGAGGGTCTAGAACAATCTGGAGACTCCCTAGAGGAAGTGTGCCAATCTGGGCCTAGAATCATGGGTAGCAACTGGAAGAAGAGAGGAGGTACTTGAGGTGGGAAGACTGGTAGGAGGTAGAAACAGAAGAGTAGACAGAATGACGGAGGAAGACAGCACAATGTGGAGGACCAGACCAGAGGGAGGGACAGGTATGGGCCACCGTTTGGAGCACAGATTCTGGAGTCTGCCTGCCCCCTCCCAGCACTGTGGCTCGGGCCAGTCACTTACCACTGCTGGACTTTGGTTTCCACATGTGTAAAATGGAGAATATGGTGGTATCAACCTCACTGGGTGGTTGTGAGGGTCGGATGAGTTAATACTGGCAAGGCACTTGGAACAACACCTGATACGTTGGTCATGCACTAGGTATGTGTTCATTAAATTAATCAGAATGGGAGACAGAGGTCTCTGATGGAAAAATAACAGGAGCTGCAGAAAAAACAGATCAGGGGCAGAAAGCTAGAGAGACACAGAGGGTCAGGTTGGGGGACAGTTCCCCAAGGGCTTCCTGGGGAAGGTGGCCTGGGCTCGGGTGGGGATGAAGGACATTTCATTCATTCTTCTTGAGGGCAGGCCACATTGGATGAGGAAGGCAGCACTGGAAAAAGATCAGGCAGACTGGGTGGGAGAGGCTTTGAATGCCAAGGTGGAGCCTCCAACCATCTGTCTCCCCCGTGTCTCTAGCAGAGGCAGCAGCTGCCCCAAGTGCAGCTCCTGGCCCTGCTCAGCCTGGGCACGTGTCCCCAACACCGGCCACCACATCTCCTGGTGAGAAGGGCGAGGCAGGCACCCCCGTGACTGCAGGCACCACTGCGGCCGCCATCCCCCGGCGCCACGCACCCCTGGAGCAGCTGGTTCGCCAGGGCTCTTTCCGTGGATTCCCGGCGCTCAGCCAGAAGAACTCGCCTTTCAAACGACAGCTGAGCCTCCGGCTGAATGAGCTGCCATCCACGCTGCAGCGCCGCACTGACTTCCAGGTGAAGGGCACAGGTGAGCCCTGGGCTCAGTGGGAAGGAACATCAGGATTAATCCCACGGACTGTTGTGAGCAAGAGGCAAGGAAGAGGAGGCGCGCTGACTGATCGGAGCTGTCCGCCACGGGCGGAAAAGAGAGTGGTGGGGCGCTTCACGGTCGGTTAGCGGCATCCGCCACCAGCAAGGAAGAGGAGATAGGGAGGATAGGCCACGATTGATTAGCGATGTCTGATATGGGCAAGGGATAGAAGAAAGGTGGCACAAGTCACAATTGATTAGGAGTGTCTTCTGTGGTTAGGGGGAATGAGAGAGGCGATATCGTGACTGATTAGCAAAGTCTACCATTGGCAAGGGAGAAGAGGAAAGTGTTCAGATGGTCATGTTTTTGCTCAGGAGGAGACTGAGGCACCATAGGCTAATGCTCCGTCCAAGCATCTGGCCAGTAGAGCCATGAGGTCTGGGCAGGTGAAGGATACAGGCTCGGAGGAAAGGAGGGTCGTGATGCATTAACACTGTCTGTCTAGGGCATGGAGTGTGGAGTGATGGCACCCATCACCATCTCCTCCCAGCATCTGCCACGAGCAAGACACACACCACATGATTAATTAGCAAAATTTGTCAGGGGCAAAGGCAAAGAGAGAGCAGCAGGGATGTTCTGTTTTGCCCAAGGGGAGGCTGTCAGAATTCGGAAACATGGAAAAATGAGGCGAAGCGCATGAATGTGCATGGGGATCACAGGGCCAGGGAGCACAGGGACAGATTCATGATGTCACCTGTGGGCAAAGGATTGAGCAGAGGAAGCTCCCTTCATCACTGATTAGGCATGTCTTCAGGGACAGTGATGGGGAGGGAGGTGCCTCACCATTATTGGGTAGCAATGTCTGCCATGGGCAGTGATGGGAGAGGGGCAAATGCCCTGTTTTGCTTGGAGGGAGATGGTGTACCAAAGACCAGTCCTCTCTTCCAGCATTTGGCCAGTAGAGCCATGAAGTCTGGGCAGGTGAGGGGTAAGGTGAGTAGAGTTTAGTGGGAAAAAAGCATATGTTTGATTACTAATGTCTGCCATGGGCCAGGCAAAGGAGAGAGATGACCTATGTCCTGATGGAAAGCAGCGTCTGCCTTGGGAAAGGGAGAAGAGAGAGGTGGCACAGTACCATGTTTTGCCCCAGTTGAGACAGGCAGGAGGGCTGCCTTTCCTCCCAGCTGTCAGTGGAGTCATGCAGTCTGGCCTGCTCTCCTGCATCCATCCGCCAACTCTGAGACACCTTCCCCTTAGAGCCTTGGGGCTTGGTGTGAGAGGTGTTGATCCATAGCCAGGAGGCTAGACTACTTCGAAAGGTGACTGCTGAGCAAAATGCCACTTGTCAGGAGTGACGCACACTCACTCCATTGTCCTGCAGCCATCACAAACCCTCAGGTTTGCTGTCCTGGGTAGCTGTCACACATGCTCCCCAGGAAGTGACAGGATCCCCAGGCTTTATTTGGAAGCTGCATGGTCCTCTAGCCGGCTGCACTTTTGCTTGGATGTAACTTGCCACACAGAAATTTCAGACTCACACGGATTTCACACACTTAGAAGTCATACACTTAAGAGTCATGTGCACTCAAAAATTACACATACTTGGAAGTCGCAGAACAGATGTTACCATTACACACGCTTAGCACACATCCAGATGTCCCACACAGAAATCACACATGCAGGTTTGCACACACTCACACACCACACTCCCGGCTTCACACGGACTTGGAAGTCACATATGCAGATTCATGCACATGTGCAAACACATCACACAGGCAGAAGGGCTCACTCTTGGGAATCCCTGTCAGGATGCTGCACTCCTGCATTTCTGTCACACTTGATGCCACACCCTCAAAGCCTGCATACTCATGTGGACTAACATGCAATCATCACGAATTGACCTGGAAACCACTTACCCTCCCACCTGAGCATCCCACCATTGACTGTTTCTTTCTGCTGACTCCTGTGGCCAGTTTCTGATGCTGACTGCACCATCATGCATGCTGCCCTGGAAACAGCCGCTTGCTGAGATGTCACAGACACTGGCTGCACACCTCATTTGCTGGTCTTCTCGTTTATCCCTATGATATCTAATTTGAAGCCTTCATGAGGCCACCACATCCACTCAGTGTCTCGAGTCTTGCTGGCACAGATGCCTGTCTGCCTTCATGATATGTGTTGTAGGCCAGGCTCGGTGGAGTGGACAGGGCCCTGCTTCTCCACCCAAAACAGGACAAATGATCCCCAGGCAGTGCAGAACAGTATGGCTGACATCCATGCTGACTAGTTGATGCTTGTGCCATACATGTGGTTGGATCTATTTTTTTATTGATATCTATTGTTAAACGTTTGAAATATTTCTTCTGGTTTGTGGCTACACACAGCTCTTGAGGCCCTCCTTGGTTTTGGGGTCCCTGTGACTGTCATCAAATGTCATACACTATTTGGCTGTTGTACTACTAAGACCTTACACACACACATGCAGAGTTACCATTTTTGTGGCCAAGGCCAGTTAGTCACTGTGGAGTGGACCCGCTGCCCCACACACCTGTGAGGGAAAGGACCCCAGGTCCTAAGAGAGGGCCGCCTGAGGGTATGGGGTCAAGGGCAGGGCCTGAGCCTGTTTGCTGACCTCCAGCCTTCCCTGACTTCTCAGTGCCTGAAATGGAGCCTCCTGGGGCCAGTGACAGCGACAGCATCAACGCTCTGTGCACGCAGATCAGCTCCTCTTTCGCCAGTGCTGGAGCACCCGGGCCACCGCCAGGCTCAGCAGGTAAACTCAGCCCTCCTGCTGTGGCAGCCACCCGCCCGGCCCCTCCCACGCTCCCATGCTCTGTTCAGAGCTACGTCGGAGATCCTGGGAATCTGGGCTTACCATAGGTTTGAACCATGGATCATTTAAGAGCCCTGGGTTCATTCTAGCACCAGGAGATAACAGTAGAATCATGGGGTCACCTTAAAACCATGGATCAATTTTTAAACGTCCTTGTCTTAGAACCATAAAATTTAGAAACTTACAGCCTTAGAAACTTAGGATGTTAGAACCTGACAGATTTGGAACCATGAAACCTTGGAATCTCACAGCTTTAAAAGTGCTCTGAGGAGCACAGCACCGTGGAATCACCTTAGAGCCACGAGCTTATCCTAGAACTGTAGAAGCACCTTAGAATCGCAAATAGTGTAAATGTAGAACTCTATGGAGTCTTAGGAAAACACACATTTAAAACCACTGATCCTTACCCAGTACGTTAGAAAAGAACACGCCAAGAAAGACCCAGGCGATCTTAGAATCTTAGCCTCCTAAACAGCACATTGTCAAAATAGCAGAAGCAAGGGTGATATTAAAAATATTTAATAACAGGTTTGGCTCTGACCAATCAGAAGGGAAGCCAGGCTGGGTGACCATCAGTCTTGCCTATACTTTTCCGTCTTGGGACCTTAGCATCTTAGAACTGCATTTTATTAGCCCGGCAGAACCATTACGCTGTCCAGGAGGGTCAAGCCACTACGCAAAGGCAGTGCAGTGAGGGAGGGGCAGAGCTGGCTTCAAGGCAGGCAGCCTGGCTCCCAAGTCCGATTCCCCAGCTCGGGTTCCTGCCACTGTCCCGTGTCCTCTCTCCAGGGACTTCGGCCTGGGGCGAGCCCTGTGTGCCCCCCGCAGCTGCCTTCCCGCCTGGGCACAAGCGGACCCCGTCGGAGGCTGAGAGGTGGCTGGAGGAGGTTTCCCAGGCGGCCAAAGCACAGCAGCCACCACCGGCCTCGGTGCCCACCGTGCCCCCTGCCCTGCAGCCCTTTGCTGCCCCCCTAGGGCCTTTTGACGCAGCACCTGCCCAAGTGGCTGTGTTCCTGCCACCCCCACACATGCAACCCCCTTTTGTGCCCACCTACCCGGGTTTAGGCTACCCACCCATGCCCCGGGTGCCCGTGGTGGGCATCACCCCCTCACAGATGGTGGCCAACGCCTTCTGCTCAGCCGCCCAGCTCCAGCCCCAGCCTGCCACCCTGCTCGGGAAAGCCGGGGTCTTCCCACCACCTGCCGCACCCAGCGCCCCAGGGGGCCAGGCCCGCCCACGCCCCAGTGGAGCCCCCTGGCCCCCGGAGCCAGCACCGGCCCCAGCCCCGGAGTTGGACCCCTTTGAGGCCCAGTGGGCAGCGCTAGAAGGCAAACCTGCTGTAGAGAAGCCATCCAATCCCTTCTCAGGCGACCTGCAGAAGACCTTCGAGATCGAACTGTAGCCTGAGCTGCCCACCCCACCCCTTCAACTCCAGGTGCCCCACGCCTGGGAGTAGAGGCCCAGCCTCTCCCCTCGTCCTGCTCCCTGGGGCTGCGCCCCCAACATCCCTGAACCCCTTCTCTGGACCACCCCCCACAACCACTACAGAACCAACATTGCAATGCCAGGTTGTGGCAGGATGGAGTTCAGGGACAGCCCCAGCCTGGCTAAGGGACCCATTTCACTGCCAGACTTGGGCTGGCCTTGCCCCCTTTCGTCCCAGCCTCGGGATTGGCCACAATTCCTCCGAGTGCCCTCGGTTCCACCTCCATTTCCGTTTCTGTTGTTGACCTTCCACCTTCCAGTGTTGGGTGGGATGGAGGAGGGATGCCCATATAGGGGCTCTCCTGGGCCCCAAGTCTGCTTGCATTCCCCCCATACACAGCACAAGCAAAGGGCTTCCCTCTGCCCATCTGCTGCATTCACTGCCAATGCTGGGCTCGCCCCATCACCCCTCCCCCCAGCTCGGGGGCCCACATCTTTGGGCCAAGGTCTCATGGGGGCAGGGGCCAAGTTGGGGTCCTAGGAGGCGGGGTCGGGGGAAGGGGAGGGAGATGCTCAGTTACCTCACATCAGTGCCCGCTGGGGAGGGGTCCGGGGAGAAGGGGGGTTGCCTGGCGGGTACTTTTCTATCTTTTATTTCCAGATTTTTTTGTATCTAAACTTACAGATTTGTATTATACAAGGACAGCCAATAAAGGAAGAATATAACGGCACCCCTCGGGGGACAACAGGGTGTGTGTCTGGGTGGGGGGCAGACGGTGTGGTGACACAGCCTTTCGTCCTGAGTCATCGCCTAAAATAGGAGGGAGTGAAACGGGTCTCTGGGGAACAACCTCTGTCATAAGGGTAGCAGCAAACGCTGACCCAGCCCTTGAGAGGTGGGTATTAAAGAGTACTCAAAATTCATCACCCCACTTCTGATTCTTACAGATTTTGAACCAAGGAATTTAAGAAATTATAATCTGCTGCTAACAAGTTCAGTATTAAAATTTTATATAGTCTGGTTTGGAGTAGTGTATCTTTGACAGCTGGCAAATCCTTGTTTTATCAGTTGCATTTTCAGTAACCTAGGCCAGAGTGTCGTCTGACATGGCACCATACTGTTTTTAAGTCTGTTGTTTCTTGGGTCCCTTGATATAATCTATAAGTTATATGTTTTAAGTACAGTATATGATACATATGTTTAATTCTTTAAAAGCTCTTTACAATGAGGTGATTGATTTTGTGAAACCCAGTACCTTACCCCCAATTCCATGGATGGGGAAGTTGCGTCACTTGCCCAAGGTCACATGTATGATCGTGATCCCAGCCAAACTAGTGGCCAAACTCAAGACCGGTCATTAAGCCAGGAGGCCATGAGGGAGAAGCCTACCATCTGCTCTCAAGTCTGCATTACAGCCATCAACCAGCTGTGGGTCCTGGTCTGGGACCTGGATGGTGACAGGCGGCTCTGCCAAGGCACCACGGGGACGCCCAGGAAGACAACCAAGGCCTCTGCTGGCAATGGGCCACACTCCCGGGCCCTTGGAGATGCTGGGCTGCCTACCTAGAACACCCTGTCCTGACACCACACTTTGTCCAAGAAAAGTGCTACTCATTCAGGCCCCAGTTCAAGGATCTCCTCTTCTCAGAGGGGAGCCTCCTCCAGGGCCCGCCTGCATCCAGTCCTTTTGAAGTGGACAGCTCTGGTCCTTCAGGCTGAGTCAGGCGTTCTCCGCAGTTGGATCCCCTGCTCTTCCCCCATCCCTGTGCCCTGCCCATCCACCCACCCACCAACTCCTCTGCCGCCCCCCGTCCCCACCGGACCGTTCTGGGCTGTCACTTTCTGATCCGCCACTGGACCCTGTGGGTGCGGGGTGGGTCTGCGGCTGTCTCGGTCACTTCAGGTCCCAGCCCAGGGCCAGGTACAAAAGGCACAGTCTCAGTAATTCACCTCCTCAAAGCGCTAGCTGGGGAGGGGCAGAAAAGGCCCAGACCCAGAGCCCTCTGACTTCATCTCAGACAGCCCGCCCCATCCCTCCTGCCCTCCGTTTAACCAGACCACAAGTACACAGAAAATCGGGGACAAAGTTAAGGCCCTCTTCCCTCTGGTGGCTCTCTACACAAAACCATTCTTCCCTACGCCTCCAACGTTTTTCTCAGAGCTCCTCCCCCAACAGTCCCGGACGGAGCTCCCCATACCCATTATCTTCGAAGGACCTCCCGCTGTCTCCTCCTGGCCACTCTCCCCACCTCCCCTCCCAGGCCAGATGGAGACTCGCCCTTCGTGGGGCTTCTCTCTCCATAGACTGTAGATCTGGGGTTAACCTGCCACCTTCCACTTTCCTCAAGCTTTGGCTAACAGACCACCGATTTGGAGACCACGACCCCGCCCTACCAGTAACCTCGTCCCGCCTAACGCCTCGTACTGTACCCCTCCTCACCCTGTTCAGGGCCATTCTGGGGGTGTACCTCCAGTTCGGAGTACTTCAGCGCCCTCTTTTCAGTTGTTTGGAAATTCCCGCGCACCCCAGAGCAGCTCCACGCTTCCCCACCGCCCGCCCCTCGGAAATTCGCCCACGCTGGACCGCGTGGAGCGCCGCCACCATTTCCCGATCTCGTTGGAAAGCTCCGCCCCTTGGTGGAGCCACGCCCCACGAGATGCCCCGTCACTAGGATCCACCTGGGCCGCGAGGTCTGTTTGGGACATTCCACGCAGCGGGGTTCAGCGCCCCGCCCCCTTTCCCGTCTTTCTGGGAAGCCCCGCCCCCTCGAGGCGGCCGCTCCGGGCCAACCCCCCGCGGGCCTTCGAACCGCTGCTCCCTAGGCCTGTACGCTTCCACCGCTCTGCGCGGGCCACGCGCCCTGATGTGGCCGTGGCCTCTCAGGGAACATTCCCCGGACAAACAACCCCGCAGGTCAACGCACCGCCAGATCACTGGCTCCTGCAAGGCCAAGTGGATCAAGACACGACACGGCGTGGTGGAACAGCTCCCCCTTGTGTCCCTGTCCTCGGGGACTCGCGTAAGGGCCGGATTTGTGGCTCTGAAGGAGAGGCCCGCCACATCCGTGCTAAGGCAGAAAAAGTGTTAAAAAAAAAAAATTGGCAGCGCAGTCCTGAATAACATAGTCCTTCAGGCTCAGGCGCAGCTGTTCGCTCCCCTAAGAAGTCCTCTCTGAGTCCTCCCATCTGGATCAGCAGCCTGCACAGCGCACAGGGTCCCCCTCTGCTTCCCCAATCCCGGCCTTGACTCCTCAGCCTCTGACTCCCCCATCCCGCCTTCCACTCCAACCCCGGGCTGTCACTGTCGGGGGACACTGTGAAGGAAGGGACAAATGCTGTCTTGGTTACCACTTTGTGCCCAGGGTCGCCCAGGGCAGGGTATAAAGTAAGGCTCAGCCGACCTGCAGACCTCCCAGGGAGTATTTACTCCCTCAACAAGTATTTTTGTTTTGTTTTGTTTTGCTCAGTAGTTTTATTGAGGTATAATGTACATATCATGAAATTTATGCGTTTTAATTGCTTTAACGATTCAGGGTGACTTTTCAGAGTTGTACAACCATCACCACAATCCGATTTTAGAACATTTCCTCACCCTAAAAAGACCTCTTGTGCCCACTTGCAGTCCCTCCCCATTCCTATCCCAGCTTCAGGCAACCAGTCATCTACTTTGCGGCAGATATATGTTCTTTTCCTCGTTTCACACGCGCTTTCTCAATATTTGCTTCTAGCAAGATACTGAGTGCTGAGGATTCACAATTACACGCACAGGCCCTTCCCTCAGGGAACTCAAAATCTGTTTGGGGCAGTGGCTAATGGGAAAATATGACCACTCACTACTTCATTTGGAAATATTTACTGATATGTATCAAGCACTTCCCAAGTGCCAGGTACTATTCTAGGACCTAGGGACATAGCAGGGGGGAAACAAAGACCAAAAACCTCCTCAGCTGGAGTTGATATTTTAACGAGGGGATAAAAAGATAAAGAAATAAACAAGTAACTGTGTAATACAAGTGGCTGGTTGTGACAAATGTGAAGAAAAATAAACCAGAGTATTATCAGGCAGCTGTATTTGGGGAGGTTTCTTCCTGCGTACTAGATGAAACCCCAACCTGGATGGGGGGAGGGTTTTCAACTCTGAACGAGAAAGAATTCTTGAGCAGTTCAGATGAGTGTAGCTAAGGAAGGAATTCATTAACGTGAGAGTGGAAGGGAATGGCAGCTACCTTGCAGGCAGTAGAGAGCAAAGAAGAGCAGAGGGAGGAAAGGTGAGTTCATTGAACTCGTGCTCAGCATAGGGCAAATGGTTTGCCAACTCCTGAAGCCAGAGTCACATGGCATCCACTGTCCATTTGAATCTGCAAAGTGTGGGAAGTTGGCCCCTATCACTCCAGGATTTGGGGGAGCTGCAGAGCGCTGCATGGTGTGAAAGTATGTTCTTAGAACTTCCCAAAGGCAAAAAGATTTTTCAGGCAGGCTACTAATGGGCATGATCATACAGCTGCAGTCCTGTCCGGGTCACCCAGGTGATGGGAACTTGGAAGCCCAAATCAGAGATCTCAGTAGCCCTTCCCTACTTGTCTGAAGTAGGACAGAGAGAGTGAAACTTGTGCTTAAGTGTAGAAAAAAGAATGAAATAGCAAAGTAACAAAGATGCCTACCACTGGAAGAGGGCAAACAAAATGCAGTCAGCTGAGCAGTGAAAAGTCTTTATTTAAGGTAAAAAGTACACACGCAAAGAAAGGGGAGTGCAGGCAACCTCAGACTCAGAGAGGAGGCGCACTCAAAGGCTTAGGATTCTGTCTTTTAATAAAGCTTTCAAGAATGGGGTAAAGGGTGGCAAGGGGTGGGGTGGGTAGGCTTCAGTTGTGTTCTTATGATATCTGTCTCCTGTGAGAGACATTTACCAACATCCACAGTCTGTCCTCTAGATATTCTGTAAGATAAACATAACATAAGGAATTTCTTGATCCTGGGCACTTATCATTTAGGACTGTTTGCCCTACCTTAAGATAGGTGCGGTTATTGATTGGTTACCATAAAATATGTTAGAAATCTTACCTCCTAACTCCCTGTTGTTGTTGTTTTTAATGGAATCTTAGCTTTAAGATGGAGTCTCTCCTGTTCTTACTATGCTGTTTATATCTTGGCATTTTTCATCATAGGCAGAAAAACTTAGTCATGATGCTTGTCCCATATCCCTGCCCGACCTCAAGAGGAAGGGATAGTGATGGGGTGATCTTAGGATGATCAGGGAACCCCTCTCTAAGAAGAAAACATTTCATCAGAGAACTGACTGAAGTGAGGGAGTCATGCCCATATCTGAGGGAACAGTGTTCCTGGAAGCAGGGAATGGCCAGGGCAAAGTAATGGAGTTGGGAGTAAGCTGTAGTTGGGAGGCCTGGAGTGTCATGAGGGATGGGAATGGCCATCCAAAGTGAAGGCAGAAAGAGTACAGCAGGCCGGATCTGACAGGGCCTTGGAAGCCAAGGTAAGAGTTTGCCTTCTGGTCTAAGCAGGATGGGAAGCCACTGGAAGGTTTTCAGCAGGGGAGTGACATGATTTGATTTACACTTGTAAAGGTTTGCCCAGGCTGCCACCAGGAGAAAGGATTATGGGTGGCCAACAGGGGGTCAAGGATGATGACTTAGACCAGGGCCAGAGCAACAGGGAGGGGAGAGAGCATGAATCGGGCAGAATTTGGAAGAGAAAATCAAGATCTGTCAAGTCAAGGACATTTATGGATCAGTCAGGGTAGTTTGCATATGAACTGTAGTATCGATTTATTTATTTATTTATTTATTTTGGTATCATTAATCTACAATTACATGAAGAACATTATGTTTACTAGGCTCCCCCCTTCACCAAGTCCCCCCACATACCCCTTCACAGTCACTGTCCATATGTGTAGTAAGATGCTGTAAAATCACTACTTGTCTGCTCTGTGTTGCACAGCCCTCCCCATACCCCCCACGCACTATACATGCTAATCGTAATGCCCTCTTTCTTTTTCCCCGCCCTTATCCCTCCCTTCCCACCTATCCTCCCCAGTCCCTTTCCCTTTGGTAACTGTCAGTCCATTCTCAGGTTCTGTGGGTCTGCTGCTGTTTTGCTCCTTCATTTTTTTCTTTTTTCTTATACTCCACATATGAGTGAAATCATTTGGTACTTGTCTTTCTCTGCCTGGCTTATTTCACTGAGCATAATACCCTCTAGCTCCATCCATGTTGTTGCAAATGGTAGGATCTGTTTTTTTCTTATGGCTGAATAATATTCCATTGTATACATGTACCACATCTTCTTTATCCATTCATCTACTGATGGACATTTAGGTTGCTTCCATATCTTGGCTATTGTAAATAGTGCAGCGATAAACATAGGGGTGCATCTGTCTTTTTCAAACTGGAGTGCTGCATTCTTAGGGTAAATTCCTAGAAGTGGAATTCCTGGGTCAAATGGTATTTCTATTTTGAGCATTCTGAGGAACCTCCATACTGTTTTTCACAATGGTTGAACTAATTTACATTCCCACCAGCAGTGTAGGAGGGTTCCCCTTTCTCCACAACCCCGCCAACATTTGTTGTTGTTTGTCTTTTTGATGATGGCCATCCTTACTGGTGTGAGGTGATATCTCATTGTGGTTTTAATTTTCATTTCTCTGATAATTAGTGATGTGGAGCATCTTTTCATGTACCTGTTGGCCATCTGAATTTCTTCTTTAGAGAACTGTCTATTCAGCTCCTCTGCCCATTTTTTAATTGGATTATTTGCTTTTTGTTTGTTGAGGCATGTGAGCTCTTTATATATTTTGTGTAGTATTGATTTAATATTTGATTTTCCAGGTGTAAATAATGGTACTGTGGTTGTGTAGAAGAATGCCCTTGCTCTTGAGAGATGTCTGGTGAAATAACAGCAGTGAAATCTCACAAAATGACTGTAAGCAATTTTCAAATGGATCTTACATAGAGTGAGATGGCTAATTGTTAAAAACTGGTCAATCCATATAAAAAGGAGGGTATCCCTTGTACTTTTCTTTCAAATCTTGTGCACATTAAAAAATTTGTGAAAAACAAAAAATTGGAGAGGTGGAAGCACCTGTTTTGGAGGTAGGCCAGACTTGCTGACAGGTTGGATCTGCGGAGGGAGGAGACAAAGTTGCCTCCCCACTGCCTAGGTTCCTGGCTTGAGCTCCTCTGTGGCAGGTGGAAGTCTTGATTTAAGATTGAGAAGGCTGTGGTGGTGGAGGGGACTGGTGTGAAGGGGGAGATCAACAGTTCAGGAAGGACATACTCAGAGGTCATAGGCTTGTCAAGAAAACAGAAACCACAGGAGATATTTCAACAGAGAGAATTAAATATAAGGATTAGAATAAACAGTAAGACTGGCTGAACCTCTCCAGAAAGAGGTTTGTCCTGAAGGTGCTGGGATGTAGAGCCAGAGATCCAAGGCAGAGCTGGCTTGCTCCAGACGTGGGAGACACCAGGGATGTACTCACTGGAAGACAGGTGGGCACGTGGGCAGTTGGATAAGGACAGCGGCCCTCTCTGGATACAGCTGTTCAATTTAGCTTAAGCTGTGCAATGGATGGCAAAGGCCTGTGGGGAATGGGCCAGGCTGGGCTTGGAGTGGGTCATTATGGGGCACACACTTTATTTTCTGGGTAGTTGGGCCACAAAGCACTAGATTGGGGCTGGGACATATTTTTCAGAGACTTATTTTTTTTATATCATGAATGTACATTTACTTGAACAACATTATGGTTACTAGACTCCCCCTATTATCAAGTACCCCCTCACATACCCCATTACAGTCACTGTCCATCAGCGTAGTAAGATGCTATAGAATCATTACTTGTCTTCTCTGTATATACTGCCTTTCCCATGTCCCCCCTCCACTGGCTACATTATGTGTGCTAATCGTAATGCCCTTTCCCCCCCTTATCCCTCCCTTCCCACCCATCCTCCCCAGTCCCTTTCCCTTTGGTAACTGTTAGTCCATTCTTGGGTTCTTGAGTCTACTGCTATTTTGTTCCTTCAGTTTTTGCCTTGTTCTTATACTCCACAGATAAGTGAAATCATTTGGTATTTGTCTTTCTCCACCTGGCTCATTTCACTGAGCATAATAATCTCTAGCTCCATCCATGTTGTTGCAAATGGTAGGATTTGTTTTCTTCTTATGGCCGAATCATATTCCATTGTGTATGTGCACCACATCTTCTTTATCCGTTCATCTACTGATGGACACTTAGGTTGCTTCCATTTCTTGGCTATTGTAAATCGTGCTGCAATAAACATAGGGGTGCATATGTCTTTTTCAAACTGGGTTCCTGCATTATTAGGGTAAATTCCTAGAAATGGAATTCCTTTTTCAGAGACTTTTATTTGTAGAAGAGTTTCACTTTTTACTTACTTTATGCACTCATGGCAAAGGGTGGGGAAGGGGGGAGGAAGGGAGAAAGAGAGGGAGGGAGGGAAAGAATGGGAAGGAGAGAGGAGGTGAGAAAGAGAATGAAAGAGAAAGAGGCAGATTCACTTTTAAGGGTCCTGGAGTTTTAGAACAATCTTTGAAAACTCCTTTCACATTTTGTGGCTGTCCCATAACTTCTGTGATTAATCCATGATTGTGGGGGTTTCAGCATGATTTGCTATTGTAAGCAGTACTATAGTGGACACCTTTGTTGCCAACTATTCTTCTGTACACACCTGTACATAATGAAACTTTTTTATTGTGCTTTCCTTCTTCCCCACTTTTTAACGCCTCTGAAATCAGGATGCATTTTACAAATGATCGCATGTCAAAAATTAATTGGCAGCTTTGTTTTTTCTTTCTGGGTGTTTGAAAGTAACAATGCTTCTTACCATTGATGACCTCTTGCATTTGAATGATCTCTGGAGTAACAATAATGCTCAGAGCAAATACCTGTTTAACACTGAATATGTGCTGAGGTAACTCTCCCAACAGCCTGGGAGGTAGATGCTGTTATTGTTTCCACTTTTCTGTTGAGAAACTGAGTCACAGAGTGGTTAAGGAACTTGCCCAAAGCCACATAGCTAGGAAGTGATGGAGTGGGGATTAGAACCCAGGCAGTAGCTCCAGAGGCTCTGTATATGTCTGAGGTTTCCAGTATTTAGTGCCAAGTTGAACATTGTAGCAGAGATGCCCCCTACCACAACTCCTCCCCAGCCTTGTTTGTACACAAGGGACCCCCTTCAGGCCACAGATAACTGAACCAAAGGGATACCAGTCCATCCAAGGGGCACCTTCAACATTGGGGGTTGCATTGTCCCCTAAACTGCAGTGCATTTGGCATGCCTGACCACTCCAGGCTTATAAATGCCTGTGCAGCAGGTCTCAAAGCCTGGCCCAGGGAACCCTGGGAGTCCCTGAGAACTTTCATCCATAAAACACAAAACTATTTTCATAACAATAGCAACATGTTTTTTGCCTATTTCGCTCTCATTCTCTCATGAGTGCACAATGTTTTCCAGAGGCTCCACAACATGTGATGATGTCATTGCTCTGCCAACTAATGGAGCTTGTGCATCTGCATTCGTGTATCTTGAAATTGCCAGGTTTAAGTTCTAGTACAGTAAACATCAATAGGTATTGCCCACACAAATAAAAGCTCTTTGGAGTCCTCAATACTTTCAAGAGGGTAAAAGGATGCTGAGATTAAAAAGTTCCAAAACATTTGCCCATAACAACCCTTTCCCAAGTCACTGTAACGATCACAAAACCAACCTGCACATTTCCAAATGTCCCCGACATTGTCCCTGGGTGAGAATCTCAGCCATCAGCTGCTGAGAGCCAACTGCAGCCTCTGTCCTTCAGACATCTGTAAGAAGATGTTGAAATGGATTTTTCCAGAACCTCTAGAATTGCTCATAGGGCCCAAAGCTGGGGACAAAAGTGGCCAACTGCCTGCTAGCTAAAGTTCAAGGCGAATGATCAGGACCAGCCACCTACCCAAAGAACTCTGTGAGAGGATACAGGGCTGGCCCAACTTCCACCCCCACCCCCCAGCCCCCACAAAAAAAGAATGGAGTGGGGAAAGTAAGCACCAGCCTGTTTGCAGGGAAAGGAATGGGTAGAGCGCTCAGGAGAAACTAGACCTTTCTGTCCCCTATGAACTTTGAATCAGGTTCCAGCCAAAGTTCTTCCCCTCAAACATTTGTTATGAAGATTTTAAATCTATGGAAAACTTGAGAGAATAGTACAGTATAAACTGCCACACACCCTCCACGTAGAATCAGTGGCAGGAAACATTTCATGCCATTTGCTTCCTCTCTCTCCGAATACCCACGCATGCTCGTGCACGTTTGGCATTTGCTGAACCTTCCTGAGTCTCGGCTCCTGAATACTTGTATGTGTCTTCTAAGAATAAGGACATTCTCTTACTGAATGACAATACCATTATCACACCTTAAACAGGAGCAATCATGGAGATTTAATCATATGGGTAACTACTGAACCACTGTGTTGTATATTTTAAACCAATATTGTATATCAATGATACTTCGGTATTTTTTTACAGTGAAAACAAAAAAGAAGCCTGTAATGGAGACAGCATATTTCACTGCTTGGAGAAAGAGTTTGGTGTCAAAGACCTGGATTCAAGTCTCAGCTACTTCTTAGCTGCATCACCTCTTACAAGTTATTGAGCTTCCTATTCCATCATCTGTATCCCCATCTGTACAAGAGCAATAAAAACAATACCTATCGAGGGGAAAAAAAATTAGCCATCATTCCACAAAATGACCTACTATCCAAGACTATATTTTAAAATGAATAAAAACGAGAGCAACCTTAAAGAACCTGATGAAACTGTCACTAAGGTTCCCTATGGCCTTTATCTGGTAGGTGAGAGGAAATGAACATCGCTAGCAGGTGGGAGGCAATCGCTAAAAAACAAAAGGAAAACTATTGTTTTCCATCCCAAGGAATTGAAGCTTCTCAATAAACTATTTCCATTTAGAATTGGGACTTGGCGACTGTCACAGGTGGATGACACTGGACCCTGATGGCACAGAGCGTACTCAAATACCAAGAAGAGCAGACGGTGATTCCCAAAGATGCCTGCAATCACGTTTCCCACTCCACGTATTTTTCTAGAACCTGGACACCCGTCCCTCTGAGAAGTGGGCTTTGTCTGCCCTCTCCTGGGATCCGAGTGAGTTGCTTGTTAACTGTGGCGGAGGTGCTGCTGCCTGTGAGCCAGTTCTACCTCTGTGGTCAAACGCTGGCACCGGGTGCCTGAGCTGCCAGTGAGAAGTCCCACTGCCGAGACCACCACGATGTGAGGAAGCCCAAACTAACCCACATGGAGAGGCGACGTGAAGAAGCCCTGACACAACATGGAGACAGAGACAGCTGTGCACCCCGCCCCCAGCTGCTTCACTGCCCCAGCTTCAGCCAGCACCTGAGTGAACCGCGACCCAAGCCAGAACTGCCCATCTGGACGCTTCCCAAAATCCTGGTAACAGACATGGTGAGATGATAGGCTCACTGTTATTGTTTTAAGCCGCTATGCTTTGGAGTGATTTGTTACCCGGCAATAGTAACTAAGAAAGAGGGTGGAGTGCAGAAAATAAGGAGCTTGCAGAGAATTACAGCCTCAAGAGCTGAGAATGGTCCTGTAACAACACCAGCAGCTAACATTGAAGTGTTTCCCTGTATGACCCCTAGTCTCACCGGCAATATGCAACTCACCTGAATCCTCACGGCAGCCCTAGGAGGTGAGTGTCATTATCTCCATTTTACACCTAGCAAACAGGACCCAGAGGACGGTAAGAAGGGAAACTGAACTTCTGAGCTAAAAATGTAATGTGAACCCCTGCTGTGGCTTCAGCAGCGGGTGTTAACCACTCAGTGCGTTTGTAGTTCTATGATGACCAGCGAGGGAGATGTGACTTGGCTCTGCCAATCTGGGCATTCGGGTCTCCCCAGGCCACAGTGATTGGCGCTGGCACAGACACGCGATCTCATCAGGCCAATCAGAGTCAGCCTCACTACTTCCGCGAGAAAGGTCCCCTCACTTACCTGCAGAGGGTGGGTGAGGCTACCTGTGGCCAGGAGGCTGCTGGCAGCCGTCTACGGTACTGCCGCTGGAAAGAGGGAAGAGGAACGAAAAGAAATGGGGTCCGTGGTGACACTGGAGGACAGATGTGTCCGTTTTAGGAGAAGCCAGCCAAATATGGATGTTCCAATTACAAATTCCCCTTACAGTTTGAGCCATTAAGGTCGGCTTTTCTGTTACTTGTATCGAGGACGAATCAACATGCCTAACAGCCAATACTCGGGACACTGAGCGATCAGAATGCCTAACAGCCAAAACTCGGGACACTGAGCGATCAGAATGCTCCATTGCTGTGCCGATACTGGCACGTTTCTTGCTGCCCCGTGCGGAGGTCTGCGAAGTCCTGGGGGAGGGGCCAGGGCAGTTGGAGAGATCTCACGATGAGGAGCTTTTTGCTGGGCTGTGAGGCAGCATGACTTACCAACCACTGCAGATGTATTTTTAGCATCTCAACAATTGATAAAGCAAGATAGGTTGTCCAAGCTGAATATTAACTTTGCTTGCCGAGACAACTCCCTTTTGACGTGAGCTAGTGTGAATGGATTTCTGTTTCCTGCAACTGGAAAAGGAAAAAAGACATCCTTTCATGAAGCTGAGTCATGAATTAAACCTTTAGGAAATAACAAATAGCAGTGAAAGCTCACTTTAACCGTATGAGGTCATTTCAACCTCGGGTCAGGCAGAAACGCGGTGGAGAGTCTGACCTTGAGCTGCCAAAGGGGCCGCACCCTTCGGCCCAGAAATCCCACCTCTGGGACGCGGGAGGAAGTGCCTCACAGCATTATTTACAATGGGAGGAAACTGGAAACAGCTTTAACGTCTGGCAACACTGGCCCATTGAGTAAACATCAGGCAAACATTAGAAATTGTGTTTACACAAAGACGTTTTAACAGGGGAACGGCTTACGTTTTAAGAGGGGAAAAAGCAAGACTGTATAAACAATTTGCTCACACAGTTATATAAAACATAGACACATTTTTAAAAGGCTGAATGGAAATACATCAAAATATGAACTACAGTAATGATGTGGGACTTAGGTGGGGGCAGCTATCTTTGTCTTTCTAGTTTCCTGTATTTTCCAAATAGTGCTTAAAGAACAATGAGCTCTTTGTCATTTTCAAAAGTTTTAACTTAGATCATGAACATTACCATACAGATATAAAAACAAAGACAATAAACCACTGTGGCCCATCACACAACTCCAAGATCCATCAACATCTTGCCATTTCATCTTCTTTCCCATCTCCATTTTTTTTTTTTTTTTAATATTTAAGAAAAACCCAAGTGATGGACCTTGAGACAGGAACCATGGGTGTAGTCAGAGGAGGGTGAGGGCCTCTGGAAAAAACAAGGCAGGATATTTACAGTCAAAGCAATGTAACAATGTAGAGTCCCTATGGAAACTCTGTGTTCAGCATTATGCAAAGTCAAGGTCACACTAATTCTCTAGGGTAAAGATACCAGACTAGGAATATAGGCATCTTCAGTGAGATCAGTTAAAGGTCAGAAGGCCAGGAGCAACTTGGCCTGGAATGTCTGAGTGTTCTGCAAGGGCATCTCAGTATAACCTGTGACTTCACTGTAAACAGCCCCAGCAAACAGACAACAACCCAGCCCGTCTTGAGGGCAGGGCAGGTGGTACAAGCCCACACCCTAAGCCCTCAATTCCCAAAAATCCTGTACTGCCTATAAATCCCCTAAACAACGCACCACCCCGGGCCCTCTTGTGCCCTCGTGGCATGAGCCAGGAGCTCTTTCCTCTCACTTTATCTCTAAATAAAAGCCTGTACCTTGCTCTCCTACCTTGGGTGTTTGTGAAGCTCATTCTTTGGCTTTGTGAGCAAGAGCCCCGGCATCACCTTCGTGTTCATTCTTAAATGGTGCAAGAGCATCTAGATAAAGGTGGGGGTGCATTTCCTGACATAACTACAATGCGTTATCACATCTAACAAAATTAACAAATTCCTTAATATCATTTCATAGCCAAACCTTATTCAAGTTTCCCCAATTGTCTCCAAAACATCTTTTACAGGTGTTCTGTTTGAATTGGGATCCAGACCAAGTACATCCATTGGCACCCAGAAGCTTGCGGTGGTTGGTCTGACCTGCCCTTCCTTATCTCCAGCTGCTGGGCTGAATCATCGTGTCCAGGCGCAGAGCCTGCAGAGAAGCGCACTCCCTCCTCCCTACGGCCAGACTGATGCTAAATTCTGTGCTTCTTCCCTTTAGTGTGACTGGAATTTGCTCCTTCACATGGCCCAGAGTCCCAGAGCCTGTCCCACCTGGGTCCCTGCCTGACCTCCAGTCCTCTCTCGTGTCCCCTGGGATCCACTCCCCTTCAGCCCCACCCGCCCCAGCTTCCTGAACCGCCCCACACCTTCCCGCGTCCTTCAGGACATCACAGAGGCCTGCTGAGGGCTTCCTGGCCATATGTGACAAAATCATTATTTCCAGTAATAGTCAGAAGACAAACGAACAGTATTAATGGCCAGAAGAGGAGTGCAAAGAGTGAACATCTTCTTTTCTTGGGTCTCATATATGTAAAGCCATGCCAGTAAACAAAAAAAAAAATTAAAAATAAACATTACAAAAGAGAAAAAAGCACTACTATTTATTCAAAGTTATGGACAGAGTCAAAGTTTGAACTTGCATCTTTTGGTTACAGTCTGATGTAATAAAACTTTATGTAAATGTGAGGTTTTTTCTTCTGGAGGAGAGAGAGGTTGGGAGGGAGGAAGGGAGGGAGACAGAGACAGAGAGACAGAGTGCGCTTGCCAGCAGCTTGCATTCCCAGGAAGGCTCGGCTCGAGTCCACCTCCCAGACACTGGGCCCTGAGCACTTGGGGGGCACTCTGCAAAGCCCCCAACCCCACCTCCATCAGGATTCAGGGCAATGGCCTCCTGGAAGTGTCACCTCACTCTGCCCGGGCTCCTAGGGATGATGTATCTCTCCCCCTCCCAGCCCACCTCCACACTCCAGCGCTGGGCTTGTCCCGCCTTCACCTGCCGCCTGAGTTCTTTCCTGGAACCTGTGCAGACGGTGTGGAGTGTGGGTGGGGGGAGTGCTTGGCGACTGGGTAAAGGAGCTTAAGGGGTGGCCAGGGTGTGCAGATGTAAAAGCACATTATAATGACAGATTGAGGCCTGAGGGCTGGGAGTGTCCTGTTGATGGACAGCAAAGACAGGAGACAAGCATCATGATTAATTTTCCATAAAGTACTAAAATACAAATAGCATAGTAAAAACAAGAGAACCTCCTTAAGGCTAATATTCCATTTTTAAAAAGCAGAGAATCGAGAAGTAAGATTCCTCACATCTTCTGTGGAATCAGACAATAACCCACCCAATCTTATGGCAGGGTGGCAGTCAACTGATATAGCCCCAGTGCCTGAGGGTAACCACTGTCTTGGAGAAGAACAGGACAAATAAATCCCTTGTACTGGGTTTGTTTAGCCGAATTAACTGGAGGACTGATGACAGAGAAGAGGAGACATGGTGTCTCTCACCAGCAATAAGCATCTTGAGACCACAAGTCAAGCCTACGCCCAACAATCCCCCCTCTGCCCTTTGCCCCTTTCTTGGAAGCCTTAAAAAACAGAATCCCCAACCTTACAGCACACCTCCTCCCTGAGGATGCCCTCACTTTCCTTTTTTTCAGTGCGTACATTCAACTAAACCATTCTCACTGCTCAAATTATCGTGTTTTGTCTCTTTGCTATTTCCTTCTATTTCAAGTCTTCTCTCTGTCTCTGCTTTACTCCTAATAAGTAGGGAGGACCTGCTCAGAGCTCAGATTCAGGTCGGCCTGCCTGAAAATCACCTTTCTTTGGGAACTTCTCAGAACATAATCTCACTCAATCCTATACTCTGCAGCTCCCAAAATCCTGGGGGTAGGGACTGCTCCCCACGCAGTGCAGATCCATGCAGACACAGGACACCAAGTAACCCTGGCTTTAAGAGTTGGCAAGGGAATCAGCCCTAGGCCGAGAACTGTCCCTCTTTCCCTCCGCACTTCCCTGTTTTCTGCTCCTGCAAGGCAGCTGCCATTCCCTGCTGCTCTTGCTTTCATAAATTTCTTCCTTACCTACACTTATCTGACCTGTTCAAGAATTCTTTCTTGTCCAGAGTCAAGAACCTTCCCCCATCCAGCCTGAGATTTCACCTGGTGTGCAGGGAGAGACCTCCCCAGACGCAATTGCCCGGCAACACTGGTTTTAAAGCTGGAGGCGTAGAAGCTGGAGGTTCATTACAGTGTTGATTTTTTTAACTGCTTATTGAAATAAGTGCACATGCAAAACTGTGCAAACCGTAAGTGTACAGAGGGGTGAGTTTCCACCAGCTGAACACACCTGTGTTACCAGCTCCCAAATGGAGAAACATTTCCAGCCCCCTAGAACCTACCCAGAGGCTCCTTTCCATCCTGCCCCTACACTCCCCTCAAGATCACCATCATTCTGACTTCTGGCTGCATAGATTGTTTTTTCCTGTCTTGAATTTTATGTAAATGGGGTAAAAATATATATTATTTAGTGTCTGGCTTTTTCAACATGGTGTGAGATTCATTCTTGTGTGTTTTCTCATTGTGAACGCCCTTGTGTAACTACCCAGTTTACTTATCCATTCTCCGTTGGTGGCAAGGGAGTGAGCCAAGTGGAAAGAGGCCCCCAGGCAGAAGGAACAGCCAATGCAAAGGTCCTGAGGTGGGAACATGTCTGGTATTTTAGAGAAACAACAAGGACATCCATGTGGCTCGAGAGAAGGCAGCAAGGTGGGGAGCAGAGGAGATGAGGTCAGAGGGGGAATGAGAAGCAGATGGTGTGGAGTCTAACGGGCCACCATGGGGGCCCTGGCTTTTGCACTGGGGGAGATGGAGTCACCGGAAGGTTCTGAGCAGTGGAGGACTTCATCTGACTTGGGTATTCAGTGTCCCTCAAGGTGGGTGAGGGAAGAGACCCGGGGCAAGGGCAGGAGTTGGAGCTGGAGGTCCAGAGAGGAGGGTGAGATGGATTGAAGCAGTTGGGGAAGCCAGAGATGTTTAGACTCAGAATACACTTTTTTGTGTATGTGATTAGTGATATATTTTATTTTATTTATTTCTACCATCTCTGTGATTCTTTTGCCACCCTTTTTCCCACGAGTTCCATCCGCCTCTCATTTAGGCTTCTTTAAAGTGGCCGCGTTTTTGGTTTTGTTCTGTCCTATGTTTTCTTACTGTTTCTTTTCCCCCTACTCCTTCGGAATCTATGTGCCATTTCTATTCTTTTGGAGCCATCCTTGAAATTTTACCACACACACTTTTAAAATTCAGGTCAGAAGTTTAAATAAGAGTTTAATCATCATACCAAACACTATGTGGATCATAGAGCACTTTATCTCCCCAGTTCTACTTACATTGAAATTGTCCAGAATTTCAGGTTTCTGATTTCTCAGAAACTTTTTTAACTTTGTATTTGCAGATAATTTCAAATTTACAAAAAAAAAATTGCAAGGCTAAGAATAGTACAAAGAATACTCATATACTCTTTACTCAAATGTATCAATTGTTAACATTTTTAGCCCATTTGCCTTGTTGCTTACTTTCTCTGTTATATGTGTGTGGGTTTTTCCTGTACCACCAGTTACATCACACCATAGCCTTTCATTCCTAAATACTTCAGCTTGTATTTCCTAAGAATAGGGATATTCCCCTACATAACCACAGGACAATGACTAACTTTAGTAAGTTTAATGTTAATACACAAAATTTCCCTAATCTACTATTTGTTTTCCAGTGTTGTCATTTCCCCAATAGTGTTCTAATTTCTGTCATAATTTTTCCTCCAATACAGGATGAGACATCTTTTTTTTTGTTTTGTTTTGTTTTGTTTTTAATGATTCTGTTTGGAAGGGCATTAGGGAATTGAGTTACTAAGTTATTTTGATTGCTACTTGCTTTTTGCACATTCATTTAATAATGCTTATTGAGAACTTATTATGTACTAATCATACAGGCTTTAGTAATGTTCTTAGTAATCCCTACTATACTCTAACAATAATAACAAAATAACAAACATAATCTAACAAATAAGAACCCACTAAGCTCTCCAGCTGCCCTAAGTGCTAGATACTTTTTTTTCTGTTAGGTACATTCTTATTTTCCCTTTCCTCCAACTTTTTTTTTTTTTTTTGAGAGTTCATCTCTCGTATTTATTGATCAAATGGTTGTTAACAACAATAAAATTCTGTATAGGGGACTCAATGCACAATCATTAATGAACCCCAAGCCTAATTCTCAACAGTCTCCAATCTTCTGAAGCATAACGAACAAGTTCTTACATGGTGAACAAGGTCTTA